TGAATCACCCAAAAGTCACAAAGCATGTTAGTAGCAGAACCAGCACTATAATCCAGATCTCTCTAGTCCAAATTCTTTCTACTACACAATGCCGGCTTTTATATTTTGAACTAATAAATCAAGTAGAATCTTTTTGAAGGCTAGGACAGCTCCCTTCTATTTCTTCTGTATCCCTAGAGCATTTAATACAGTGCTTTACATAGTAAGTTCACAGTCTATACTGATTACCTAAATTTTGTGAAGTATTTATTAAGATAGGTATCTCTGCTATACTTGGGTGAGATACCAAAGATATCAACATTGACCATTATATGAGTTCATAATCTAGTCAAAGTGAAAAAAAGGATGCACATGAAAAACAATAAGCAGGGCAGCTAAATGGCACAGTAGGTAGAGCTCCGGCCTTGGAGTCAGGAGGACCTGAGTTCAAATCTGAACTCAGACACATGACACTTACTAGCTGTGTGACCCTAGGCAAGTCACTTAACCCTGACTGCTCACCAAAAAGCAAAACAAAAAACCAATACACAGCAGCAGCAACAACAACAACAACAACAAAAAACCCAAGTGCTAGAGTGTGGTAGAAGTTATAGCGCTAAAGAACTCAGGGAGGAAGAGTGATATGGCTGGGGATGAATCAGATATTCTTCTATAAGAGGGACTGTGTTGTGGAAAACAAAGCACTAGACCTGAAGAAAGGAAGATGTGGATTCAAGGCTCGCCTCACATTGATATCTAGCACAACAAAGACAGCACTGGGCCTAGAGTCTGGAAGAACCAAGCTGGAATGTGACCTCCGACATTTACTAGCTGGGTCAACCTCAGTTTCCTCAACTATGAAACTGTAAAAACCAAACCAAACCAAACCACCACAATAACAGTACCTCCCTTCTCAGAGTTGTTGTGAAGACCAAATGTTGTGAAGTGTTTCTCACAGTGCCTGGTACACAGCAGGCATTTAACAAATGCTTGCTTCCTTCTTATCTGCTAATCACAGAATTTCTTTCTACTTCACTCTCCTCAAATATAAAATGGGAATAATGGTCAACATCTATCTCAAGGATTGCTGTGAGGATCAAATTATAGTTCATTTGACACATAAATTTGATACATTTGTACATAAAGAGCTCTTCATACTTTAAAGTACCATACAAATGCCACTTATTATATAAAAACTCAGCTGATTTGGGTTATATACTCCCCTCCTCTCATTACCAAACTTGCCCATAGTATATAATACAACATTTTTTGTAGGTTAAGCAACACTGGCTTATCATAAAGGATCTTCTGTGTCAATAGATGATTGCACCATTTATACTGCTCAAGTCAAGGAGAGGAACGGGGGCAGAATGGCTTGACGGTTCTTTGATCTATTACCAGAAATCATATAGATTTTCAAGGGACAAAGGTTTTGGTCATATCCATTTCCCCCAAAACTGCTCCTCTCCAACTTTCCTATTCTTGTTAATGATACAATCTCCCAGCTACCTCTGCTCCAAACCTCAGGGTCATCTTTTCTACTCTCTTCTTCCCACTACCTAATCCTGGTCAGTGTTCAACTTCTGAAATCTTTCAAGTCTATCCTCTTCCTCTCCACCATTACCATCCTATTCAGGTTTGATTATCTCTTCATCTGGACCATTATAATGGTCTCTTAATCTGTTTTTTCCTCCAGAACTTCCTATTAGTAGAAAGGTACTGGATTTAGAGTCAGAGGGCCTAGGACAGAATTCTGGCTCTGCCACTTACCATTTATGTGGCTGTAGGCAAGACTCATCCATAAAACAAACTGGTTGGACCATATGATCTGTAAGGTCCCGTCCAAAATCTCTACATCTGTGATCCTAAAACTGGCCTGATTAAGCATCTCAAAAAAATCCCACATCTCTGTACACTCTCCTACTCAAAAATTTTCAATAGCTCCCCACTGCCCACCAAAAAAATTGAAATTTCTTGGATAGACATTTCAAACCCTTCACAACTTAGCTCTAGTTTACTTTTCCAAAATTATACCACCTTCCCTCTCTTTATACTTCCCTGAGGCCACAAAATGCCCAGAATGTCCTTCCTTCCTCTACCCTTTCTTACTCCTTATCTCTCAGTTGAAATTCTATCCATCCTTCAAAGGCCCAATTCAAAAGCAAAACTTGCCTGCCTGTCCCAGATCTCTTCCTTTATATCTTTATTCTAACTGACTAGTCATTAATACAATGCTTTAAATGTGTTTTAAGACAAAGGTTATCAAACCATATACCAAAACAAGGCTAAAATGGGTACATGATTTAGACAATAAAGGAAGATACCATAAGCAAATTAGGCAAGCATAGAAAAGTTTACCTGTCAGATCAAGGGATAAAGGAAGAATTTATTACCAAACAAGACAAGTGTTGGTTTGGTCCAATGAAGGTGACAATTATATAGGATGATAAAATGTTAAAATTATCTTTTGATGTAGTAATTTCTCAAGATCATAATTTTTTTTTAAAGAATCTTTCTCTACACCTCATTCCCCACCTTTCACTTCCTTTTGTTCCAGAAAAGGCTCTTTGACTACATTCTCTTTCCAAAGAAATTTCTCTGGCATGCTGCCACAAGTTTATCTACCCACTTCCATTTTAAGTAATTTTCCTTTGAAAACCTCTTCTGCAACAAAGATTGGTCCCAGGGTTTATTTTTAAAGAAAACTTACCACAAGCTGCTATAATACACAGACAAGAGAGTACAGTCACGAGGCCTGGAATGATTCACTGATTCTGATAAAAGTCCTCACAACCCATTCCTATTCCAAGCCTACTTTCTTGAACAGATCATATTAAACAGCTTTCAGAAGCAGTTTGATTTACTTTTGTTTTTCACTTCTATAGGAATTTGCCCATTTCACCCCAACCCCATGATCTCTTGACTGGCTCTTTTCATCTCTGTGTGCAAGACTTCAACACAGTACTATCTCAGAACTCTAAAACTACAAGCTTTGGCATAATGGAAAAAAAAAGGCAGGGTGAGGGACTGGAGTGGAAGGAGGGATATGGCACAGGATTTCTTCTTGTTGCACAGTCAATTACAAAGCTGATATTTTCTCTAATACCTGAAAATTTGCCCAAAGGCTAATTTTAATTTTTTACTCTTAAATCCAACAAATATTTATTAAAAATCTATCATAGTACCTTGATACATAGTAAGATAAAAACATTATTCTGTGCTCTCAAGTCGATTACTGATCATTTTCAATAGCCTTCTTGCACTACAATTTAACCCATTTGTAACTGAGACTCACAAATGCTTTCAGAATATACAGCTGGTGTTAATACAAGAATAGGTTTATATATAAGATATGGGGCATGATTTTGGCTCAGTTACATCTTTCAGCTCTGGAAAAGAAAACTGATTAGAGTATACAAAGTATGTAATGTTTTTTTCACTGTTTACTCTTGGTAATTAGTTTCCAAAGAATACAGATTACAATTGATAGCAAATAAGCTATGAATCAAGAGTACATCTTGACCTTTATCATAGTAGCTATTCACAAATCCTAATTAAAAAATATAATTTACCTCCTGTCGACAAATGACTCAGGTCTACTTGTTGACAACATGAAATAGATATAGACTCACATTTACAAAGCACTTTAAACTTCATTTTTTCCCAAAAACTTCTCTGCAAGGCAGGTAGTGAAAGTATTATTATTCTCAGGAAGATATTACTAAAAGCACTAAGATTCACCAATTGATTGCACCCTTGATATAACTAGACAGTCAATGTCAGCAGGCGGGGAAAATAGCTCAATTCTATCACCTCTTTACATTAAATTGATCTTTTTTTGAAGCCATGTCTCTTGGACTAATTACTACCTCAGATTCCAGCTACAAAATTCATCCAAGCTGTTTCTAAGTATTGAAAATAGCCCTAGTTATTGAAAAAGTCATCCTGAAAAGAAGCACACCTCACCCATTTGGTTTAATTCATTTTGGTAGACCAAACATCTGGTAACAAATAATTCACTAATGGTTCTATGCATATCTAGGCCGAAAAAATTACTTCAGAAATAGGTTGTTAAAGGAATACTGTATGGACTTACTCCCTGTTGCAACCAGGGGTGACCTCACATTAAATGAAGTGAGTTTTCAAAGCGGTGCAAAAGACCTCTGGTAAAGTACCAGGCACAACTCCACTACAAAGGTAAAAGAGTAAGGAAGAATCCCATTTTCAGTACATGTAAGAGCTCTGGCTCTCAAACATTGCCCCCCTTCCCCAGCTTAAATCCCCCTGGATGATAACAGCTAACACAACATGGTGACTTCATACACTATCTCTTTACATCCTCACAACTACACCCTGAATACAAGCAAGAACTTCTCAATTTTACAATGAGGAAATCCAGGTTTAAAGAAGGACAGCATGGTGCAGCTTCAAACCTCCGCGGTGGCATGATGTCATAAGATCTGGATTCAAGTTCCCACTGTCATGGGTAAGCCATTTCTGAGCTTTAGTTTCCTCCTCCGTCTTTACCCACAGACCGCCTGTCTACCTCCATCAGTCTGGCTAAGTCTGGAGAGGTTCGCCACCAGAGGCTGGGCCAACAGATGGGGGATGCTATTTTGTTCGGCCACAGCAACTACCCAAGAGGCTACGACTTGCCATTAGTGGACGGGGCGCCCAAGATGATAAAATCGCTGCTCTTCTTTTAATCAAGGGGGGGGGTCTAGCTGGGGGTGGGGGGGCTATCACTCAGGGCTGTCTCAGAGAGTCTCTAAGGGGGTTAGAATCAAACCCCGCGAGCCCTTCCCGGGGACAGAGGAAATGCCTCAAAAGGCGCTGGGACCCGAGCCCGGCGAGCGTCTTCTGCCGGAAAGCCGACGGGAGGGCCAGCTTGCCCAGGTGCCGGCCCCCCGCCGGAAGCCCCAGTTCCGGCTGCCCGCGGCTCCCACACTCGGATTCCGGAGACAAAGGGCCCGCTCTCGCCCCTCGGGGTCCCGGCCGGCCCCAGGCCGCGGCTTCCTTACCCGGAGCTCGCCCTCAGTGCGATGCAGGCCGAGCCTCCGTAGACCCACGGCCAGATCGTTGACACAGAGGCCTCCGTCGCGGTTGACATCGAGTTCCTGGAAGAGGCTCCAGAGGCGGAGGCGGTGTTCAGGACCCCCGCACACGGCCGCCACACGGGTCCCCGGCGGACGACTGGGCGGGGGCGGCGCCGGGGGCCGGTGGAGAGGCCACACAGCGACACAGCACGTCGCTCACCATCGGGTGCTAGGCGAGGTGGAGGGGACTGGAGGGCGGGAGGGGGGACGACGGAAACGGCAGGGACCGGCGTCCCGGCCCCGGCTCGCGCGAGCCTTGAGGAACTCGCCGGCTTCTACTCAAGTGAAAAAGCGCCGGCAAGCGGGCTGGGCGGGGCCGGCCTCCGACAGGCTGTCCGCGCGCTTCCGGGAGCCCCGCCCCGCGCCAACTCACCTCCTCCCCACCCAGCCCCAGCGGCCAATCGCCAACCCCGATCCCGGCACGAGGCGGGGCCAAGGAGGAGGTGCTGGGGCGACGCCCCACCTCCGAATCTGGCCCAATAAGCGTAAGGTTTTGCAAGGGGGAGATTCAAACATCAGTGGGGTTTCCAAATTGCCTGAGCTAGGTTTTTGAAGTGGGCTTTCCTCAACAATAGGTCGAGTTCCCGTGATTAGCAAATGGATTGGCCCCAGGAAAATTCCATCTTACAGAAAGAAAAAAGAACGAAGTAGGGAGTATAGCTTCCAAGCTGGAAGCCTCTAACTTTTGAGTAACAAACATAAAAACCAATGGCAAAGAAGAATTGCGATTGTGGGAGGGACCAAAGACAAAATTGGCATGGACCTTTGCCAATAATCCCTGAAGCTGTACGAGCTTTGGTACGCTAACATCGCACTCCTCCAATAAAATGGACAAATCCAGAGAGCTGGTGGAACACCAGTGAATGAATGATAGAAAATATATCCAATAGGGAAGCAGAAAAAAAACAGGAGGCAGGGCGTACCAACTCGATCGACATGACTACTCACCAATGAACCTTCCAAGTCTAGGAATAGGGTGGCTCGTAATCATGAAGGACAGTGACGCTAGCCAATAAGAGCAGCGAACTCTGCTCCGCGTCCAACCAGCGCTCGAGGTTACCCTGGAGAAGAGCCGGCGCTTGGCCTCTGCGGGGAGGGGAGGGAAGGAGAGCTCCGCACGCCCCGGCGGAAGAGGCAGATTCAGGAAGCCATTACGCAGCTCCCTGGCGGAGGTTCGGGCGGTGGAGGCCGGGTCGTACGCACTTTGCGTAGCGCCGGAGGTTGTCAAGGGCCTGGGCCTGGGCCTAGGCCTTGGCAGTGGGCAGGAGAGGCCCATCCCCTATTGGGGGCGGCAAGCCGAGGAAGAGGAGGAGTAGCAGGGAGCTGGGGAAGGGGGCTTTGGGGAGGCCATGGCGGTACCAGCTAAGAAGAGGAAGATGAACTTCTCAGAGCGTGAGGTGGAGATCATCGTAGAGGAGCTAGAGCGCCAGAAACACCTGCTCATCAACCACTTCAACGCAGGCGTGCCCCTGGCAGCCAAGAGCGCGGCCTGGCACAACATCCTGAGGCGGGTCAACGCCGTGGCCACGTGCCGCCGGGAGCTGCCCGAGGTCAAGAAGAAGTGGTCCGACCTGAAGACCGAGGTCCGCCGCAAGGTGGCCCAGGTCCGGGCCGCCGTGGAGGGCAGTGAGCCCCCTGGAGGGCCAGAGGAGGGGGGCCCCGGTGGTCCGGGCCCGGGCCCTGGAGGCGCTGGCCCCTCCGTGGCCCCTGTCCTGCTGACCCCCATGCAGCAGCGCATCTGTAACCTGTTGGGTGAGGCCACCATCATCAGCCTGCCAGGCGCAGCTGAGATCCACCCCGTGGCCCTAGGGGCAGCCACAGCTGCGGCCACTGTCACCCTGACACAGAGTGAGTGGCCCCATACTGCCTGGAGGGCAGGAGGTCTGCGGGAAGGGTCTTTGGGAAACCATAGCATCATGGTGTGGCAAGGTTGGAAGGAACCTTAGAGCATCATTCAGGCCAACTACATAATTTTACAGAGGAGGATAAACTGGCCAGTAGAGGTTGATGTCCTGCTAAGGACAATGACCTTGGGTCAAACAGGACAGAGAATAGGATGGAAGGTCACTTAGTGGTCATTCAGTCCAACTACCCCACTTTTTATAGAAGAGGAAACAGAGGCTGGCAGAGGGAAAGCCCTGGCAGAATGTGACACACAAGGGATATGGCAGAACCGGGTCTAGAATCCCAATCTCCTGACTGTTGATCCAGAACTTCCTCCACATTTGTGAAGTCCTGAGCAGCTTGGCTGGATGCTTTTTAAGAAGAGTTGTTGATTAAAAAAAAAAAAACAAATCAAAACCAAAAACAACTTCAACACCAGCTGTTTTAAGGGCCCAGCATGGTTATTCTGTTGGTCTCTACTGCAGATGGGCACTTGTGTCTAATGACTATTCACAATGTCCATTCTTGGACCTCCATTTTCCCTTATATATCTAGAGTAAGTGTAGTAGATAGAATGATCAGGTTGGAGTCAGGAAGACTTGGGTTCAAATCTAACTTCTGACACATCCTTGAACAAGTCATTTAACCTCTCTCTTGATGACTGTTGTCTATTCTAGGAAGGGAGCAGATCTATGTGTGTTCCGTGGATGTTCCGTGGACTAATCATAAATATTGAAGCTGTAAGAGAATATATCTGTATGCCATCCTGGCCTCCCTAGATCCTTTACTCAACAACTGGTTCAACCCAGTATCCTTTACTGTATGTTTATTGAACTATCACTTCCTCATCTTGACAAATAATCATGTTGGCTCCCATAGCGGAAAAAAAAAGATGGAGGAAAGGGCACAAGAGAGGTTTAGTAAGAAGGGCTATAATAAGTCTACCTAGGATGAAGTTTGTATTTTTGCATCTTATTTTATCTCCTATTCCCATAAAAACTTTTAGTCACCTTCTAGCTTCCCCCACACTAAGGGAGTGTATTCTGTGGTCTCACCTCAAACATGTCATCCCTTACAGAGTTCTAAATTCCAGCTGGTTACCTTGGGAGCAAATGCTAATCTTTCTAGGAGACATATAACTTTTTTTTTAATCTATTTTTTAGTTCCCACTGAGACCACCTATCATACTTTGGAGGATGGAGTGGTAGAGTATTGTACAACAGAAACACCCACGACAGTGACCGCTGAGGCACCTGTGGAGATGATGGCCCACCAAGCTGATGTGTCTGTCAAGCCTCAGGCACTGAAAAGCCGTATTGCACTTAACTCAGCCAAACTCATACAGGAGCAGCGGGTCACCAACCTGCATGTAAAGGAAATTGCCCAGCATTTAGAACAACAGAATGACCTTCTGCAGATGATTCGGCGTTCACAAGAAGTACAGGCTTGTGCTCAGGAGCGCCAAGCCCAAGCAATGGAAGGCACCCAGGCAGCTCTGAGTGTCCTCATCCAGATCCTCCGTCCCATGATTAAAGATTTCCGCCGATATTTGCAAAGCAACACACCAAATCCTGCTCCACCATCTGATCCAGGTCAGGTGACCCAGAATGGACAACAAGATAGTCTTATTCAATGACATCGGGATTAATTGAACTCCTTCTTCTGTGACTGAATGGATTCTCTATTGTATTTCAGGCAGGTCCTATGGTTGTCCTTAGGATAGGATAAACTACATGGATAACTTCCTATTAGATAGGAATTCAGTGCTCTTGGTGCATAATGTATTTGAGAACTGGAGGAAGTTGGGATGTGGAAATTATTGAGCTTCTTGGAACCAGAGTTGCCTTCTCCATGAGGCCTGCTGCTGTTATCCCAAGAGCTGGAAGACTGGTTGGCCAAGGCATCTCCTTGCTGGAGGACCAGGCACAGCTGTGTGAACATTACATGACTTGGTTTCATGTCTAGAAGCTCTCCTGTGAAGGTCATAACTGGAAGTGGTACAGCCAAGAGTGAGAATCCCAGATATTGCTGGCTTGAATGATGATGATAAGGTGCTGACACTTGTACAATACCACCTTTGTGCTCTAAGAGGCAGTATCACTGGGACTGAGGCTGAAATTGTACCCTCTTCTTACTGTGCCTAGGGCCCCAAGGGAATTTAGTAATGTATTCTCCCCCAGGGCAGCAGGTTCCCTTGGTCATACCCTAGAATGTTTCCTCAGAACTCTGATGCCAGCATCTGTGACTTGAAGCTAAACTCCACCAGTGCTGCTCAGGAGGGGTTCAGTTGGAGGGGAGTGTCTCTGGCTGCCAACATGTCTTCCACAGACTCTCATCACTCCTCTGGTGCCTGTTTTTTCCCAACATCCTTTAGTTGGGTGGTATGTTTAGTTCCAGGCTTAGGTTGTGAACTAGTAATTGCTGGGGAAGATAAGCAGAGGGATAGAGGATCATTAGCTCTCAACTCTTAACCTCCAGGGATTGCCTTTAATGAGACCTGTGTTGAATTTTTGACAACTGAATGGGCTCCATCAAACGTGTCCACTTCTACACATGTGTCACAGGAACAAATTCAGGATTTTCAGAGTACAGATCTGCAGTGCAGATTCTTCCCTCTCCTTACTATTTCCTTCAACTCTCAGAAGTTAAATGCAGAGAAACTGTGTAGCAGCATCACTCTGGAGCACTTATACCCAAAATGTTAGGTTGCTCCACAGTATTGCTGTGAGATATCCAGGCTCCAGATGGGATGTCATGATTGACACTGAACATATGGGAAGAGTAGGGTGAGGTTACTGTGAAGACTAAAACTTTTGGATTCTTGGAAATTTGGCCATCTCAACCTTGCTTTAAAAAAAAATGTTCTGCATTGAGGAAATCCCTGCCTTTTGGAAAGGAGACAGTACCTTGAGATACTTAGAGTTGGACTTCATTATTCAGTCCTTTGAATCTACTCACCTTATTTTCAGGAGCCACTGTAATTTTTGAAGGTTTAATTCTAATTGAATGGCCATTTTTGGTTTAGTTTTTAAATTTTCACCTATCACTGAGGCCCTTGCAGCCACGTAAGCCCATGTCACCTTTGATGAACAAGGTTGGGCAGTATCACTGTATGTGCCTTGACCAGATGTGGCCCATGGTTGCAACCCAAGGTACTAGCCCCCAGCTTTACAAAGGGAAGATGCTGCCTCTGTGGGCACTTGCTTTTAGAATTGCTAACTTCCACTATTGCAATCAAGAGAAACACTCCCTTGCCCCCCATTCCCCAGTTCTGTTATTACTCTAACGCTGATGGCTTTTCTGCACAGCCATGCATGTAGTCCCAGTAAAGAGTTGGGCTCGCTGATGGACCTACAAGAAAAGTTTTTGAAGATATGGGTGGCTAATAGAACCCCCTAAACCCTTGGTTCCAATGGCACCAGCAGCTCCAAAAGGATTTAATTGTAGTGTCCTCTTTGAAAATTCATACACAAGAGAGCTCAGCTGGATTTTACCCATTTTTGAAGTCTGAGCCAGTATTGTGTCTGATCCAATTGACTGGGTACAAAGAAGATTTCTGGGGTCACTTGGACTAGTTCTTTCCAAGTATTTTTAATAATAAAAGCCCACTTTTTTGTACATAATGCTTCTCTGCTTATTTATTGTTCACATATAAAATAGTCATGGATTTAAAGAATGAATCTGTGAAGTTAAATTTGCTAAAACCTTGCCATCACTTTGGGGTATCACTAGAAAAGATTGCATAGAATGATGAGTAAGTTTGTATGTAATGCCCAATTCCCTGGAGTCTTTCCCCTGAACAGCTAAAGGATCTTAGAATGTAGATTTAGATCTAAAAGAAACTTTAGGGGTTCTCTAGTCCACTTGCTTTATTTTACAAATGAAGGAAATGGTGCCCAGAAAGATTAAGAGTCTCGCCTAAGACCACCCAGATTGTAATTGTCTGAGGCAGAATTTGAACATGGGTCCTCAAACTACAAGTCCAGAGCTCTTTCCATTTTACTGCATTGAAGCACCTTTATCACTGCTTATAATGAAAAAAATCAATTTTTTAGAAGTCTGAAGGTTTAATGCTAGCTATAAATAATTGTTCTTACATTGACCTGTCATTCTGGAATTCCAGCCTAGATAAAGTAGTTGTCGTCATCATCAACTAATTTCATGTTAGATGTATGCCCTTGAATTTGATGCTGATGAGATTTGATATAACCTGGAAAAAACTCTTGAGAAGTTGGTAGACTGAAGTCCTCTAGATGAGTTGCTTTTCCTCTCAATGCCTTACTGTTCCCTTGGTCTCAATATTGAAAAGTCAGATTACGGTGGAATTCCATTTAGAGAGAATATCAGCAACACCGTTTATTAAATTCAATTCAGTTAATATTTCATTTTCTTGATAGAAACATTTCTGAAAGTAGCACGTTTTCACTTTTCCTTCTTAGACTATGTTGAACATAATGGACCCTGTTGTCCTGACCTCCCCATCTTGAGTTTTCCTCTCTAGATTGCATTGGAAAACCACCCCCAAAACAAAGCTGACAATCATCAATATGTCTTGTTCACAAGGATAGTGATTGTGATGTATTTCCTCTTCTCTCCGCCCCAGCAATTTACATAGTGCCCTCCACACACTTAAAATGTTCATTGACGTTGGATGATTAAAATCACACACTAAGATAAAAGCTGGTGTATTAGGCCCAAGGAAGAAGCACTGAAGAAAGGTGAAGCTAGTGAGGGAGTTTTAACAAGTAGAACAGACTGGCCAAAGAGAAAAAATCCACCCAGTATTGTCTGTTCTACCCCCCAAAGTGCTCTGCTCATCCCCAGGCCATTCTTGCTGGAGGCGTGCCATCTTTGGCATGGTGTTTTGTTCTCTGCTGCCTGATGACTTGACCTTGCTTACCTGGAACTTCATGCTGACAAAGATAGAGTATCCAAAGAACCAGCTGCTTTTGGGTGATAAAGAATTCAGGACAGAAAACAAGACCACTGCTTCACAGATGAAAATCTCTGGGTAGATCCTCCTTTTAAAAATTGAATATAAAGAATTAAAGCAAAGGCTTCCTCACAGAAATCCAGCAAATTTTGCCCACAATAAACTGGCAATTGCTGCCTAGTAAACATGACCAGAATGGCAAGTTTCATCAAGTAATGAATGACCTCTGTGTATTATAGCTGCGTGATTGTGGTCATGTTTTCATCTAAGGAAGTAGGTAAAATAGATTAGAGCTTAGGTGGCCCTTTAGATATCTATTCCAAGTCCCTCCTTTTACAAATGAGAAAAGTGAGGCCCAAATTCAATTTAATTTAATTCACCAATTTTTAAGCTGTGTGACAGACACTTTGCAAAGAGCTGGGGCTTCTAGAATGAAACAAAGAAAAATAGTATCTGCCTTCATGGAGCTTACATTTTACTAAAGGAAACAATACATATCCAGATAAGAAAATGCAAAGTATGTACCAAGTAATTTTGGAGGGGTGGGAGCCACTAACTCTTGGGGAGATGAGGAAAGGCTTTGGGTAGGAGGTGGCATTTGAGCCAAGCTTTTAATATAGGAGAAATTCCAAGAGATGGAAGAGCACTTCAGGCATGGTAGACAGTCTGTGCAAAGGTGAGAGATAGAATGTAATGGCCCAGGGGCAGCAAGAAAGACAATTTGGCTGTAATATAAAAGTATACGAAGGGGACTAAGGTGCAGTACCTGAAAAGATAGGTAGGAGCCAGACTGTGAAGAGCTTTAAATGCCAAAAAGGAATTTGTATTTTGTCCTGGAAGCATCTGAAGCTTCTTGAACAGGGGAGCAACAGGGTCAAACATATATAAGGCAGGTTGATCTGCTCTTGATTTATTTGATGAGTCCTTCAATCAGTTTGATGAGATTATAGAGCAGAGACCTTTGTCTGAAGGGCTCCTCCACTGGAGGTACATGTGGCTTGACTCCTTGCTGAGAAGACACAGAGGACTCGTCTGATTGGTTTCCAATGACTGACTACTTCCCAGATGATTGGTACCTTAGAGGGAGGGGGGATGGACTCTTGTCAGAAGGGTCTTGTCCTTCCCATCTCACTTGCAACATTCAAGTCTGAAAGTCCAAGGGAGAGAAAGCCTGAGGAAAAGGTCTGGAGCCACTTTTCAGCTAGATTTCACTGGGGATGGCAGATTGATGGGGATGGAATGATTTTTTCCAAGAGTCTTTTCCCCTCTAAATCTTAGTCAACATCTTTTAGGTAGGCATAGTCATTGGGAACCAATTAGAGAGGTCTCCACAGTGGGATGTCCTCTTGGGAAGTGTTCAGGTCACATGTATACCTTCATTAGAGGTGCTCTTCAGGCATAGACTTGAAGGTGTCTTGTTGAGTTGATTGTAGGAGTCATCAAATTGTTCAGGGGCTCCTCTGATCAATTATCCTTTCAAGTGCTTTAGGACTATTAAGTTGGTACCTGTGTGAAGGATGCATTGGAGAGAGTAGATGTTGGAGAATGGAAAACTACAGTAGGAGCAATATCCTAAGACCTTAAGCCACAAAGGCTAAGCTGGTTTTTCCTTAAGATGTGCTGAAACCATCCTTATGCCTTAACTGACCAAGGGAACATAACTTCCTAGTAGCATAAGTACAAAATCCAGCACAGGAGAAAAATCAATCCAAAATTCTCACCAGTGGCCAACATAGAGACAGGGATGCTGCTCCCAACTGAATCAATGCTACTGTATCCTTCCTGAATATAATTTCTCTTCTCTGTCTAAATAAACCTTTGGTTAATAGTCAGACAATCTATGAGTACATCATTTTGTTCCAAATCTATACCTGAAACGTCAGACTGACTTGTGTCAGCCCCAACTTACAACAGAGACCAACTAGGAAGCTATCACAGTATTCCAAGCCAGAGGGAAAAAGGTTGTGAACAGGTTAGGTGATGAATGGTGTGAGCAGAGGGAAGGGATCAGGTGTGAGATTTGATTAGAACAGACAACTGACTGGATATGGAGAATGAGGGAAAGGGTAGAGTAGAGGATGATTCCAAGGTTTTGAACCTGGGCGACTAGAAGGATGGTGATTCCCTCCACAGAAAGAAGTAAGTCAGGAATTAGGGTGGGCTTGGGGTTAAAGATGAGTTCTATTTTAGCCATATTGATTTTGAGATGTCTAGGAGACATCCAGGTAGAGAAAGCTAACCCATCAATAAGCATTATTAAATGCCTACTAAATGTCAGGCACTATACTAAGCACTGGCACTACAAAGATTAAAATCCTTGCCCTTAGGGAGCTTTTATTGGATCTGGTAAAAATCACAAGTGTGTGTATATGTGTGTATATATTTTTATACATACATATTTGTATATTCATATATATACATATATATATACATATGAATATACAAACAAAAAATACAAGGTGAATATAGATGGGAAACCCTAGCAGCTTGCCAGCTCAGTAAATACTTCATGCAGGAGGTGGCATTTGAGCTGAGCTCTGAAGGAGGTTCAGGGTTCTAAGAGGCAAAAGTCAGGAGGTAATGCATTCCATGTATGGGCAAAGGCTGTGCAAAGTCATATAGACAGGAAATTAAATTTTGTATGTGAAAACCAGAAAGAAGGCTAAACTGTAGCACGCACGAAAAGAAGTATTGTATAATAAGCCAGGAAAGATAGGTTGGAGACAGGTTGTGAAAGGTTTTAATGCCAAATGGAAGAATTTGTGCTTGATCCTAGAGGCCCTAGGGAGCTTATTGAGCGTGATTAGATCTGCGCTTTAGGAATATCACTTTGGCATCTGGCCAATAAGCAATTGGAATACACTGGAGTTCAGGAGAGAAATGAATATTGGATATGGGGATTTGGGAGTCATCTGCACAGAGGTAAAAATTGAACCCATGGGAGGAGAGATGACTTTTTTCCAAGATGACACATCTACTTAATTTATTCTAGAACTCGGGTTTCCTTGGCATCTTATTGAAGTGCTTGAGAGGATAGATGGAAGATACCAAAAGAACTTTATTGACTGCTGTGTCGCTCAGAGTTAGCCTAGGAATGGGTTGGTCATTGACTCATGGGGTGGATCTCAAGAAGGATCCCTGTCTCCTAGGTGGGAGTCAGTCTCCAGTAAACATTGAGCAAAAACAATAAAGTTGAATCTTGGTCCTTCAGTTGTGAGGGGGGAAAGGTGTTTTGTGTAAAATCCTTCGAAGCAAAAAGTTGCTTCTCTCTACTGCTGTTTGTCCTCCATTTTTGAAGACTTGATATCATGACTTGTGAGTGACTTGGATTTAAGTGAGGCAGAGCTGCACAAAGTCTCTTCCATAGTCATTAAAATCTAGTGGCAAGACAAAAGTCAGGATGACTGGTCATGGCCTGGGATGCAGTGGGTGACCTTGATGTCTTTGATGCCTGACCAAGCTCTAAGTACATGACAGCACCTGCTTCAGCAGCCTTCATGGCTGTTGGAACAAGTTGTTCTCATTTGCCCATTCCAGAAAAGTCTTCACGTGGTTGGGGTAGACATTGCCTTACCTCCCTGATAAATCTGAGACCTGTCAGTTACCCTCAACCTGGTTTAGCCTGTCTTCATGATAGCTTTACCAGGATGTGGCCACTGCACTGCTCATGCTACAGCTTCTTGGAGTCACATGTGAAAATTGGGGGACAAGTGAACACCA